GAAAGCTAAGCACTCCCTTGGAGTTTACACTATAAAAGGCCTCACCCAATGCAACCCCAATTAGCCAATACTCAATTAAGTAAGGTTTGTTTGTATCTCCTGGGGCTGGTACCTTAAAAGCCCCAATGCACAAAGAAGGAAAGCAGTCAGCAGAAGAGAAATCCGAACAGTTGCCCCAAGACATTCGAGAGTAGACTAAAAAGCAGGTACGGAGACCATGCAGCTGGGATTCAAAGACAGCACCAACAGAAATTAATCGGTGCCACAATACAGATTAATACATAATTAAACACTAACAGTAGTCATTAGTTTCTGAGTAAAGAACTAAGAAAAAACAACCCAGAGCCAAAACCACCTCTCCCAAATATGCCCATAGTGGTTACGCTGGAAGATTTAAGTTAGAATGACTATGCTTGAATCCTGGTTATCTGCTCACAGATTTTAACCTAAGCAATTTCATTAACCTCAGCAGCCTCATTTGTAATTGTAGGACTGACTTCAAAAGATGGTTGCGAGGGCTAAGTTACAGGTACAAAGTCTTTCAAATAGCACCTTACACATAACACTCAGCTAGTTTTAGTTCTTGACTGGGTGAAACTGATACTAATACCTTTCAACTCCAAATCCTGTGTTGTATTATATCCCAATAGCTTGGAGGTTCCCCCACACATACCCCCTCTGCTCCCTCCTCCCCCCCCCCACCCCCCCCCCCCCCCCCGCAACCCAGCCCCTCTTCTATCTCTGATGCCAAAATATAACCACCCACCTGATGGGGTCTATAGACTGTGGGCCCCCACTGTACTAGAATTCAGACGTGTTCTAAGAGCTTGGGTAAGGGGTGGCGGGCCTGTACTGAGCCCTGAGCAGCCTGGAAGGGGCTGCAAGCTGATAACCAATCCAATGCCAGGACTCTAATCTACCCCCATCTAGTTCAGACTTCAACTACTTTTGTTCTGTTTCTCCTTGCCCCCAACTAAATTTTAGTTGAAACCTATTTTCTAGGATGCCCCAACTCCTGATCCTGTATTATTGTTCACCTGGGCATATGCATAGCTCTCCCAAAGCAGAAGTCCCTTCTACTACAGTAATGTGGCTCACAGTGGTCACTTAGTAATGGTGCACAGGCAAGGACCTAAGTTCTAACCCATCCCAAGCCACTGGAGGCATTCTGAGCACAGTATACAAAGTTGAAAGGCAGAAGCAGAATCTTACCAAGTAGAGGACAAGGTTTTCCATTATCTGGTTTTATGAACCTTGAGTAGCCAGATTTCTCTTTTTCTTTTTTTTAGGGAGGGGAGGAGAAATGGGAGGGGGGTCCTTCTTTATCTGAAGGATTTAGAGGAAGAGAATTTCTGAAATCGAGTCAAACTTACCTGGTGTCTTCTATATGACCTAGCACTTTGTTTTAGGTGTATATTCAGAACAGGGTCTTTTTAACAATGGAAAATAAGCAAAGAAAAGCAAAGGCTAATGGCCTTTATTCACCTCAAATGTGTTAAGCATTATGTGAAAGGTACTTCCAAGTTATAGACACAGGCACTAACCACTCAACCAAATAATTTACAGAATCATTCATGTCTTTGCATAGCCCTGGAGATTGTTTGGGTTCTTCTAACTTATTTGGGATAAGACCTCTCTGTTTTCTGGACTCTTGTTTCCTCCTTGGAAAAGCAGCCCAGCTCAGATATCTAAGATCTCTTTGGTCTGTACTGTGCTCTGGGTAGAAACACAATATTTATTTGAGCTATGCTTATACAAGATGTGATGCATAGAAATTTATAAAAGTAGCCTAAAACCAAGAACAATGTCTTAAGATTTTTTTTTTTTATATATACATCAAGTGATTTCTTTTCTTTCTTTTTTTTGTTGTTGTTGGGGTTTTTCTTGTCAGTCATGGGGCCTGAACTCTGGGCCTGGGTGCTGTCCCTTAGCTCTTCAGCTCAAGGCTAGCATTCTACCACTTGACACAGTGCCGCTTCTCTGCTTATGTGGTGCTAAGGAAGTGAACCCAGGGCCTCATGTATGCAAGGCAAGCACTCTACTACTGAGCCACCTTCCCAGCCCATCAAGTGATTTCTTTTTTTTTTTTTTTTTTTGGGGGGGGGTCCGGTCGTGGGGCCTGAACTCTGGGTCTGGGCGCTGTCCCTCAGCTCTTCAGCTCAAGGCTAGCGCTCTACCACTTGAGCCACAGCGCCACTTCCGTGCTTTTTTCTTTTTGCTTATGTGGTGCTAAGGAATCGAACCCAGGGCCTCATGCATGCAAGGCAAGCGCTCTACCACTGAGCCACCTTCCCAGCCCAAAAGTCATTTCTTGAGATTATAGAAATACATTCTGTGTATTCACCAGCAAGTTGAAATGTTAACAAAGAGAAAATAACCCTGTTGATCTAACAGTGAAACAGATGTCACTTTGTCATCTTCTCTGCCAATTTCCACCCAGGCACTCCTCTTGCACATCCATTTTATCTGCCACAATCTGAGATTCCTCTTAATTCTGTACAAAGACAACAGAGATAGTGAGCTAACCTGCCATTTCCTCCAGTGACTTTGATGACCATTTAGGTTTGCTAGAGTGTTGAAAAGTTCAAAAAGTGCATCGTTTTATTTCTTTCCTTCATCTCCAAGTACTACCACAGAAACAGTACAAAGTGTATGCCTGACACTTCAAGGCAGATTTGGCGTATTTCAAAATCATTCTAAATTCAAGATATGAGAAAAAAGGGTGGCTGCAAAAACTTTTCTATTTTAGAAGAGCAAAGCCAGATTATCCTAAAATTTCTTCCATCTTAGAACTGACACTATCTGCATGCTATAAAGTTTGTACCAAATCAAGGCCCTGGATGGACAGGATCAAGACTTAAACTGTGGAAGCAGCAATCAGAAAAATTTAATTTAAATCTAGTCTTCACTTTAATATTAGCAAGCAAAAGACAATTACCTCTTGCTACTTGCTAAATTGATATTAAGCCTGACTGATGACAATCACTTTCATAAGCACAGAGCATACACATTTCTCCATTGCATTATCTCAGGTAATACAGATGCTTAAATATTTGGAAGACTTCAGTATTTTGAAAGAACACTATTTAGAATGTGGTCTATAGGAAAAATGTTCATTTCTCTGGTTTTACTTCTCAAAGGGAGGCTGAGAATAAACACAGTGTTGTCATCAACATGTTACTGCTGACAACACAGGAAACAGGACATGGTTTTTCCACCTTCCAATGAAGTTTGAAACTGAAATTTAACCTGAAGTGGAATTTCAAAAGGTAGAAAAAGATTCTGAATTGAGAGGCAGTGATTTCCTCCTTATCTAGAGCATTATTGACATTCCTCATGTGCACAGCAACCCTATGACTCAGGTACTCCTATCTTCCAAGAAAGGCATGCTCCTTACAGGCTTTAAACTTACCCCCCATCCTCCATCATTCAGTTCAGGACATGCCAAGACTGAGGGCAAATTGCCAAGTCCATGGTCTTACCCACTATACTATGCTATCACTATTTACTGGGAAATTTCCCTAAGTAAAATGTATATGTAAATTTCTACACTGGGGTAGTAAGCAAGGACTGTAAACTGCACCAAAACTTCAAGACTGGCATAGATGAACTAAAACTCCAAGTGTTTGGCTAAGCAAATTCATACTTCCCAAGGCCATCAGACCATTTATTAACAGAAGATAGGCAAGAACAAATGGACTAGGAAATAAGTAATAAATGTCTAAAATAGGCAAGGTTTGATGATCTCTTCGGGTTGTTTTCAAAACAAAAAACATTCACTCAGGAAGGATGCTCAGTTTTCACCTATGGGCATGAAGATGTCGACTCTGGAAAAGGGCCCAAGGCGATACAGATGAACTATCCAACTGTCAAACAATTGAAACTTGCGATAGGTGTGTGGGACTCTTACAACAAAGTTGGGAAATGGTCCCAGATTCATACAACCCTATCCAATCCTACTCTTATCCATTCTCAAAAGTCCATCATGAGATAGGGAGAGAAGCATTACTGTGAGAGGATCCAGGCTTCAAGAAAGACTGATCTGGGTTCTCATCACTTAAGCTAGGAGATGTACTTCAGGAATTAGGAGTCTGACTTCCCTTTAAGCTGATTAACCTTCAAGATATATTTGTTCACCTCTAAGCCTTAAGTTTCTCTAGTTATAGAAAGAACACAAAACTTACTTTTTACCAAAAAGTAATCCAGCACTCACACCAAAGCTGGGACACAGAATCATTTTCCTTTTGGATTCTCTAACCTATGACTTATTTTAGTCCCCTCTCCTCTCTGAAGAGATTCTTAGCTACTTGTTATCTTAGGACTTCAAACCCCTTTGCCTCAAGGAGCACCAATTCTTCATAAGTAAAACCACTTCTCTGCCAGCCTCAGAGGATTAAGAAAAAAAAAAAGGATTAGAATGCGAAAAGGTGGGAAAAGAAGTTAGTTTTTTTGTTCCAGGACAACTTTAGACCCACCTGTAGAGGATTCACCCCAGAGGTCTAAGCCAGAAAACCAACCGGTTTACTTGACTGCCCTATAGATGATATCCTCAGAGGATATCACAGATTAGAATGCACCAGTTTTGGCGGGTGGAGATGGAGGATATGCCTGGAAAACTCAGAAAACAAACCGCAGAAGAGAGTGGGTGGGTAAAGTTTCTTTTTGTTTATTTGAGGGAAAGAGAAGAGACCTATTTCAGCCAACTTTAAGAGTCCACTTGGGCGGCTTCCTCACCACCTTCGGCATTTAATAAAGGCTCACCGGGACACCGCGACTCACTAAAATAATGGCGAGCTTCATTTAAGTAAAGCTCTTGTTATGAAAATGCCAGCCGACACTTGGGGACGGAACTGAACAGGAGTCCTTTTGAATAGACCCGGAGGGCGCCAAAAAGCCGGACTGAGGAGGGTGTGTCACCGCCCGGGGTGACGGTGACAGGACGGGGACCCTGGTGGAGGGGAACCTGGGGACGGTCCGGGCCGGGCGGGTGGGACTCCTACCTTTGAGGGAGGTCTCCACCAGACGCAGGTACAGCTGGGAGCTCTTGTTGCCGTGACTCATGCGCTGGGCTAGCCCATTGCGTTGCAGGACGCACTCCTCAAACTGCACGACGTTCTGGTGGCGTCTCTTGAGGCTGGTCAGGGCCCAGAATTCAGCCAGGGCCAGTTCCACGTTCTCCGGGGCATCGCAGCGGATCTTCTTGACCGCCACCCGGGCCCCGCTGCGTCCGGCCACAGCCTCGTAAACCACGCCGTAGCTGCCGCGCCCGATTTCGGCCAACAGGCTATAGCGAGGCCGCGCCGACCCGCCGCCGCCCTCCGGCCGTCGTTGTTCCAGGAAGGCCTCGCCCGGGGCCTCGCCCGCCACGGGATCCATGGCCTGGGCCGCAGCCGCCGGCCTCAGCTTCGAGCTGGGCGCCCGCGGCACTGGGCTTCGCCTTTTCCGCTCGGGGCTTTGTGTACCTCTGCGGGCGCCGTCCTCCTTCCCCGTTTCCATGGCTTCGGACGGCGAGGGGAGCAGCAACGGCGCTGCCCGGGCCTCCCCTGCCTCATCCCTCCGTCCGGCCTCGGAACGTGAAGGAAAGGGACCTTGGATTGTGACCTGAGGGTGAAAGAGTCGGTTAAACCACAAGGCCGAGGCGGGGAGGCCGGGAGAGCAGGCCACGGAGCGTCCCACCCCGCCCCCTCCTCCTCCCGCCGCCGCCGCGGCCCCTTTAAGACGGAAGCCACCGCCGCGGGTTGAACGCCGGAGGGGCGGGGAGAGCGGGGCGGCCGGCACCATCGGGCCGCGGCTCGGAGGGGGAACCGGAAGGAGAAGTCAAGGCCGGGTGGCGTTTGGTCGTCGGCGCTCCGGGCAGGTATAGCTCCGACACCAACGCCAACGAGAACCGGACGCCTTCGGAGCTCACACCCAAGCGGCCCTCGCGAGAGGTTCCGGCCGCCCGGCCGCCGGCCCCGGACGGGGCGCGCCCGGCCGCCCCCCCACCCCGCGTCGCGCCGTGCGTCCTCCCGGGTGTAAACAGTCCACCGCACTGAGTCCTAGCGGAGCCCAACGGACCAGCCCGAGTCCCCGCGGGCAGCGGGTGGAGGACGGGGGCCGCCGGTTCCCCCTCGGCCGTCCCCGAGCGCCACGCCGGCTCCGGCCTCCAAACGTACCTGGCGGGTGCGGTTCCACTTGGCGACGGCGCGTCGTCGGCCTCCCGGAGGGCGCGCCGGGGGCTGATGCGCGGCGGGTCGGGGTCTTCTCAGCGACCGGGTAACGGGGGCGGCGGCGGCGGCGGCGGCGGCGGCGGCGGCGGCCCGGGTACGGCGGGCAACCGCTGCGGCCGTGGCGCCGGCAGGGGAGGCCCGAGCGTCCGGGTTCCCGTGGCCCTCCACGTGTTCGCGCCAGCTGAGCCCTTTACATAACGTCTTTATATAAGCGGCCCCTCGGGCCGCCGCTCGGGTCAGCGGGGACTCCTGGTGGCCCATCCCCCGACAGGAGGCCGCCACCGGGCGACGGGCGCAGCCCCGCGGCCGGCCGGGGTCGACGGAACCGCCGCGACCCGGGGGGCGCCGCGCAGGGCCGCACCGCGCCGCCGCCGCCGCGCCGCCCCTCACCGCGCCACACCGCGCCGCCGCCCGGACGCCGCCGCCGCCCGCCCGGGGGATCCAATCACCGGCGAGAATTCGCAACTCACAAAAATTAGGCGCCAAAATCCCGGGAGTCCCCGGTCCGCCGCCGCAGGCCCCTCTCCTCCTGACCGGCGGGTGAACTAACACCCCCACCCCCACCCCAGCTGGCGCCTAATAAACACCGGCGGGAGGGGGGGGACCGGATTGGTCAGTTTGATTGATTCCTTGTTGGTGCCTGGGAGCCTCACTCCCTGACATCCCACCCAGTGATCCGCCCTTAATCTTCAGTTTCCTCCCCTGGCGGAACTGAGGGGGTTCATTGGACCAAATAAATGAGCTAAATTAGGTGTGAGATGAGTGCTCAGTGTCCTTTTAGGCCTGGATTAAAAAAAAGACCTTTTTTTTTTTTTTTTTTTGCTGTTCCTCACAGTGTTTAGTAGGTGCCCAATCTTTAGGACTTGAATCTACAGATACAGATTGAACGCCTCAGCTGTTTTAAGAAGAAATCGCCGCAGTGGATCTGGCAGTCTCTGCCTTGATTGAGGTTCTTGGCCACCGGGAGAGACAAGACCAAATGAGTGGTCTTAGGCAAATTAAATCAACCCCCTCTCCCCCTCCAAGCCTTTCTTCCCTTAGAGGTTAGTTACACAGTTAATGCACTTGGAACAGGGTCGGTTTTGCACACAATAAACATTAGAGATTATTGTCAAATAAACGCTCAGAATGGTTTTAGCCCTTGGTTAAGTACAGTCGAGAAAAAGAACGTAGTTTAAGGATAGGCTCAGGTAGGCTCACAGCTACCTACTCTGGAGGCTGAGATCTGAGGATCATGGTTTGAAGCCAACTCAGGCAGAAAAGTCCATGACACTCTTAACTCCAATAAACTACCTCTAAAAAAGTAGGAAGTGGAGTTATGGCTTAAGTGGTAGAGTGCTAGTTTTGAGCAAAAGACCTCAGGACAGGGCCCAGGCCCTGGTTCAAGCCCCAGGACTGGTGTGTGTGAGTGTATGCACCAACACAGTTTTGAGAGTTAGGAAACAATTTCTGAAAGTATTGTCAGGAAGCCTTTTTAAGTTTTGGGTGTGGTTTTTTTGTGTTAATTTTTTTTGTCAGTCATGGGGGCTTGAACTCTGGGCCTGGGCTCTGTCCCTCAGCTATTCAGCTCAAGGCTAATGCTCTACCACTTGAGCCACAGCGCTACTTAGGATTTTCTAGTGGTTTATTGAAGATAAGAGTCTGCCTGGGCTGGCTTTAAACCATGATCCTCAGATCTCAGCTTCCTGAGTAGCTAGGATTACAGGCCTACAGCTGGGATGACAGCTGTGTTTCATCTTGCCTGCTTGGTCAAACTTTTGATTGTGTGTGTGTGTGTGCTGGTACTGGGGCTGGAACTTAAGCCCTAGAAGCTTTTCGCCTTTTCCACTCAACACTAGCACTCTACCACTTGAGCCACAACTCTACTTCTTTTAGGTGGTTAATTACAGATCAGCATCTCATGGACTTTCCTGTCTTGACTGGTTTTCGAATGGTGATCCCCAGATCTCATCCTCCTGCGTAGCAAGGATTACAGACTTGAGCCACTAGCATAGACTCTATACTTTTCAACCAGAATAACAAATTAATAGATTATGCTAAATTTGTATAGTCTCTATATGTGCATGTCCTGTGCATACATATATTGTGTTTCTATGTCTACATCCTTTTTTATAAGTCATTTTAGAGTTTCAGACATACCCATTTATCCCGTTATATTATTTTGATATGTATTTCCTAAGAACAAGGATATTTTCTTTTTTTTGGTTGGTCATAGGGCTTTAACCTGGGCCTGGGTGCTGTCCCTGAGCTCTTCAGCTCAAGGCTAGCACTCTACCACCTGAGCCACAGTGCCACTTCCAGTTTTCTATTGGTTTATTGGAGACAAGAGTCTCATGGACTTTCTTCCCCGGGCTGGCTTTGAACCACAGTCCTCAAATCCTCAAATCTCAGCCTCCTGAGTAGCTAGTATTAGAGGTGTGAGCCACCAGCACCCAACTGACAAGGACATTTTCTTGTGCAATCTCAGTACAATGATCAAAATCAAATTTTTAATAATGGTATTTTATTATGACACATTTGAGGTTTGCTAATTGTCCCAATAATGTCCTATATAACTATTTTGGGATTTTATTCGGATCATTTGTATTTAGTCCTCCTAGGTCTTTATAGTTTCCTTTCATCAGGGAAGGCAGCTAGTCCTTCAGCCTTCCTTTGTCTTTCATGACCTTGACCTTTTTGGAGTATACTTGAAAGTTGTTCTGTAAAGTGTCACTAACATTAGATTTGTCTGATATTTTCTCCTGACTATATTCAGAGCATGCCTTTCTGGTCAAAATGCTACTAGAACAAGTTAGGTCCTTGGTGCCTCACATCAGGGAGCATATGACATAGACTTGCCCCAGTACTGGTAATGTTAATTGGCTAAGGTGATGTTTCCCAGAGCTCTAGACTGAAGGTATGGCTCCCCCTGCACTATCCCCCTTTTTTTAAACTACTATCTTGCAGAAAGATATTTTGAAGTTAATTCCCTGTTTTTTACTAGATTCTCTCCCCACTTACTGATGAGTCCTTACTGATGAGCACTTACTAATGAGTCCTGCTTTAAAAAGTTTTATGACAATTGGGAAATGGTGTTTGGAAAATCACATTAGTGCTAAGACCAAAACAAAATGTTCTTCCTATGAATCTGTAGCTGAGAAATCCAAGTCCTGGGTATAGGAAGATTTAGTTTTTCCTGAAGCCTCTTTCCATGAATTACAAACAGCTGCTTGCTTTCTCTCTCTCTTCCTTCCTTCCTTCCTTCCTTCCTCTCTTTTTTTCTTGCCTTTTTTTTTTTTTTTTTTTGTGCCAATACTCCGTGCTTGGACTCAGATCCTGGGCACTATCCCTTAGCTCAAGGCTAGCACTCTACTACTTGACCCACAGCTCCACTTCCTCTTTTTTGTTTTGGAGAGCAGGGGAGTAATAGTTAACTGGGAGATAAGAGTCTCCAGGACTTTCCTGCCCTGGCTGGCTTTGCCCCTCCGGCATAGCTAGGATTACAGGGGTGAGCCACCAGCAACCAGCCACAGTGGCTTCTTCTTATAAGAGCTCCAGACTGTAGGACACTGCCGTGTTCATCAAAAGTGAGTGGACAAATTGTGATATTTGCATGCAATGAAAAAAAAAGGGAATGAACTATTGATATTTAACAGCATGAGTGAATCAAAAGAATTATGCTGAGTGAACGAAGCCAAACATAATAGAACACATTCCCCGTGATTCTAGATACAGTTCTTGGGTTGTACAGGCAGGCTCATTTGTAGTGACAGAAGCAAATCAGTTAAGGGGTAGGAAGACAGCCATGGAAAATGGACAGTTTTAAGGGGGATTGTTAAAACACCTCAAATTGTATCCTTTAATAGGTTTAGTTTATGTACAGCTTTACCTCAAAATGGGGGAAAGATCCACACTCTATGTTCCCATGAATATAACATCTAGAGAAAACAGCATTTGGTGGCTGATCATACCAGCATCATGTTCAGGGAGGAAATTGACTGTCTTGAACCACAAGGAAATTCTAGGTGAAGGAATTTCATTGTATGTAAGTTATACCATAATACAGTTCAATTAAAAGTGAAAAAGCAACCCCAAACACCACAAACATGTGTCTTTGTTCAGAAGCTGACCAGCTTAGCCCTACTTTTTCTACCTGGCTCCTTAGGGTATAGGAGACCAGGAGTATCTCTCTCCCCTTTTCTCACTTGATTTTTTTTCTTTCTTCCAGTATTGGAGTTTGAACTTAGGGCCTTACATTTGTTACACTGGCACTCTCCCACGTGAGCCATGCCATCAGTCCTGCTTTTTGTTGGTTATTTCGGAGATAGTATACAGGACTTTTCTGCCCAGGTTGGCTTCAAAATGTGATCTTCAGGATCTCAGCTCCTGAGTAGCTGGGATTACATGTATGAGCCACAAACACCTGATTGTGCTAGGCAATTTTAGAGCTGATAAAATGACCATCTTTGAGTCTGAACTAACAATCAAATTTATGATCACAATAACATTAGCCCATGAATGTCAGATCATAAGGCTTGGAAAGAGGCTGGATTTCACAACGCAGAGTACTAACCACTATACGATCACAGCTAGAGGCTGGATTTCAGTAAAACAATATCCAAATGCTGCCTTACACCTGTATCCCTACCTGCTCTGGAGGCTGAGATCTGAGGATCATGATCTGAAGCCAGCTCAGCAGGTAAATCCGTGAGACCCTTATCTCCAATTAATCACAGAAAAAGCTAGAAGTGGTCCTGTAGCTCAAATGGTGGAGTGCTAGCCTTGAGCAAAAAGAGCTTAGGAACAGCACCCAAGCCCAGAGTGCAAGACCCAAGACCAGCAAAAAAAAAGTGGCCAAATGCTCACCTACTGGAAGAACATACGCACAGGCCCTAACATACAAAGAAGCTAATGGGGCTAGAATTCAGTTAGTGGGGGAAGGGAAGAATAAGGAATGAGAACAGAGAGTGGGGGCCCCGGTAGTTTCCACTTACCAGCACTTACCAAGTGTTGAGGTAAATGGTGGAGGACACTATTGCCACTCCCTTTACAGATGAGAGAGCTCTAATTACCATTATATTATGAATTGCTCAGAGAGAGCCAAAGGGTGAGATTTGGGTTGGTAATCCAGCCTCCTCCCCTCACCTCAGGGCTGAGAACACCCAGGAGCAGCCAGTCCTGGGCAGGGTTTCCAGGGAAGGGAGGGGAGAGGGTAGGCTCTGGCCTGAGAGGGAAAGGTTGTGGGGGGAGGGAGATGTGGAAGCAGTGGAGACTGTGGAGAGCAGGGGAGACTGAAGTGCTGATTCAGAAACTAGAAG